ATGTCTATTTTAGTATTTAGTAACTTACCTCTGTCTACTTTTTAGCTTTTCTCTTTCCTTGGTACCTTACCATCAGCTGTCATTTTTTTTTTCTGTTTTGAGGATTCAGTTCTAAAATACTTCCCCCCATACACTAATCATATTTACTACATCAAGTATGCTTTGTGCTGATAATGCAACAATCACATTTGTTAATACATACACATAAAAGTAAATAATTCATGACAGGAATAACAATGGGGCATTTAGTGAGTATTTTATTATTATTTTCTTGATTCAAAAGCATTTTCTCATCACTTCAAAATTATGGCCTGTATCTGGGAGGGATTGAGGTTGCCAGGAGTGGGACCTCTGGACAAGAAAAATACTACTGAGTTTTGAAAATATGTTGTAAATATAGAAATATGTATTTCTATGTATAGAACTATAGAACTGAATACACAAGCCTCCTTTATAACACACTTTGAATCCTATTAACTTTCTGAAGTAGTTGTGACCCAAAGGCAAATTATATTATATAAAATTCTTTTTGTTTTTAAAGGAGTTTGATAATTCCATTGCTTTGGAGCAAAGCAAAGTGATGAATGCATCAGACTTAACAAAACTACACTAGGCTGGTCACATAGTAACAGTTGATTGGAAACAGGTTTTTATTTTTTAGTTTGTTCATGGCTTGAATATTCAAATGAAAAATAAACTGACATCTCATGGTAGGTTTGTTGTTGAAGTTTATTTAGCTGTGTGGGTGATATGAATATGTACAAGATTAATTAGTGATTATTTTGCCGAGAAGCATAGTATAGCAGGGCCATCTGGTGTGCCATTACTGGGAGGGTGATCTTGATGGATTACTCATTAAACTTTCAACACTTTGTTCCCAGGCTATCAGTGGTCCTCCGGATTCTTATTAGATTAAAAGTGTGCTGAGATTCAGGAGCAGCAGGACCCTGGGGAAGTGTAGCTTCATGTTTATCACAGACAATAAACAATTCGACCTTGAGAACACAACCTCAAGCCCATGCTAAGATCCCTTAGTGACATTTATGCCATTTATGCATAGATCACTATTATCTTTCCCATAATAAAATACCTACAATAGATCCACCTCAAAAGCTTATAAAAGTGTTTTGAAAAACGATGATGAACATTTACATAATCTTGGAAGAAATGCACAAGCTCCTCATCACAACATAAAATATCTAGTTGAAAATTTTTAATGCAGTGTTTTTCATATTCTTTCTGTGTCATTGGGTCATAAATGTATGTATTCACTCATTCAGCATATATTGATTCAGCAGCTACTTTTGCTATTGCTATACTAAACTTACAGTCTTAAAAGAATCAGAAAATTTACCCCAACTCCCTGATTCTTTATCTGAGCATTTCTCCTGTCCTGGTGCCATGTTCTCTGGAGGCCTTGTGACAGAGCAAATTATGTTGTATAGAATTCCGGAGCATGTAACTTCTATAATCTCAATCACTCTAGGTTGCTATTTGACCAATGACCTCAAAATCATTTTATAAGCTTTGTTAGAAGTTGAGTCCTCTTAATATTAAGTTAAATGGTTTGATTTGATCTCTACATTCCAAGTATGTATGAACCATGGAGAAACTAAATTTTGATCTTATCAATAACCCTACAAATATATACTTACTGAATTCAAGGCATTTTGAAAATTTGTCACAACCAAGTTTGCCTATGAATAAAATAATGAACCATGAATATCCCTTGGCAGAGTAGTGAAATGAGGATTTATATCATCAAATCAAACAAAAATAGAGTATTTTCTGTTCAAATTATAAGAGAAGGTGGAAGTTACTAGAGGATTCACTTCTTATTATTCTTATCAGCAAATATTTATGCAGATGTAATTATGGTAGAACTACATGAAGAAAACCTGCAGACATGCACCTAGTCCTCTAGAAAGGTATGATCTATCACAGAGTTAATATCTTAGAAATGCATGAAGGCAAGAACATGCTTATGTTCATTTGCTTCTGATTTTTTTTTCCTGCAGCTTACCTAATTTACTTTCACTGCATTGTTCAATCCTCGTGAATACTTTAGCATTCGACTTTTTTTGTTGTCGTTTTGGTTTCTTTAGTCACACTCTTTCCTATGCTTAGAGTTCAGAAGCTCTTTACTAATTATCTCTGGGCATCACGTTGTCCTGTCTTGCATCTGTACTCTGCAAACTTCCTCATGTGCCATAACTCAATTTATTTTTCTGGAAAATAATGATGATAATATTTTCCTAGGCCACAGACTGCTGGGGATAAAATAAAGATTGCTGTAATAAGATAGGTGGCCGCCTAATTTTGAAATCCTAAAATGGATATAATACATTGCTCTGCCAAGTGCCACATGACAGGAGCTCA